GGGAACCGAACCCGGGTCTCTCCGGACCGCAGGCCGACACTCTAACCACTGAGCCAAACTGGCCAGGGCTAATTGGATATTTTTTATTTTACCTGACCATTCTGCTTAGCTTACAACCATGTTTCTTATCTTTTAAGTTGTTAAGTGCTCCATGGCTTGGTTTGGGGTTTTTCTCAATTTCCTGCATACACTTCTCTGTGAACCCTTAGGCAGTGATATAGTGAGGGACTGGGGGCAGAAAAAGGCTATGCAACAGAGGAAAAAAAGATTTCTGCCCCAGCAGGGTGGAAAGGACCTGCAAGAAGGGGAAGTAGCAAAGGATGACATGAGACTCTTGGAAGCAGGACAGGAGGATGCCAGCGACAGCAGTTTATTTGGAAGGGGAAACACATTGAAGAAATGAAAATAGAGACAGGGTAGGATATCAAGCAAGAAACCACTGAGAGTAACAAGAGTTGAATTTAGCAGAGGACTTCTAGAAGCCAGTGTAAATACTATCATGGTGTTTTTCTGTCTTTCCCCCCGGAGTATAAAGTTTCTACCTCACTTCCAGCTGTAGTGAGTGGCCTGAGGGGGGAGTTTGCTGCTTTGTCCCCAGTGGCTTCAGGCTTTTGTTCCATAGGAGAGAAATGTCCAGGGCAGCCTTTACGTCTTTTGTACAATGGCAACTGTTTATCTCCCTCACACTTGCAACATATGGGAAGCTTTCTAAAGTCTCCTAACTGACTCTCAAACTTTCACATCCGGTGCAGTCTGTAAAGCGGGTTGAAGTGGGTTTGATTTACTGCAGTGTCTGCAGCTTTCAAGACCTCTATACTTTCATGCAAACCCACACTCTTCCTTTAGCGACTTGTTAAAAACTTTAGCTGAAATTTTTATAATGGCTTACATGAGTTGCCATTTATTTTATTTATTTATTGGTACGTGCCCCTAGCGGGAACTGAACCCAGGACTCTCTGGTCCGCAGGCTAACGCTACAACCACTGAACCAAACTGGCCAGAGGTTTTAAGTTGCCATTTATTATCCTAGGTAAACAAGTTTTCCTGCCCTGTCTCTCCTTGAAAGTGCCTTTCTTTCCTTAGTTTTCAGTTTTATTTGACTTCCCTATGACCTCACATTTCTGATGAGTTTAAGAAAAGTTATGAATTTGTAAATTATACAGCCTTTACGTAGTTGGTGTAAAAATGGGAATGACGTCCTTTCCGGTTTTCTACTTGAACCTGGGTCCTTTTCTCCAGTGGCAATGTGCCCCAGAGATCCAGTCATGTAGCCCTTACACACTGAAGTTTTAGCTCAGCTGGAGAGGGATAACTGTCAGCCATACTTTGGAATCAAGGCTAGAATGAGAGGAAAGAACTAACTCATCCCAAACTGATTTGCATCAGGGTGAGCTCATGTAAGTTTCCAAAGTAACTGGTTATAGTTGACTGTTTACGATGGTAAATGTGGAGAGTGTGCTTCTGGGAGGTCTCAGGTGATAGGTTTTGATACATCCTGCAGTTTCAGGCATACAAAGTGGGACTGGTGGTTTCTGTGGTAAAAATAGTGAAACAGCAGAATAGAGGAGATGTAAGATTTTCCCATGTTATAATGTGGTCACCAAAATGCTTAAAATGCAACCCTGAATCCTGCCAGCAGAGAAGCTGCAGACCCCCCAGCCATGCATCTAAAACACCCACTTGCAACATAAGAATTCTCTCTGGCATCTGACATCCAGACCTAACTGATTGCTGGGCATTGCCCCAGAGTGTGATAGGTGAGAGAACAGCTACTATTGCCTCTACATCTGTGATATTGTCTCCTAGTACATGTTGTCCAAGAAAAACTTACCTGAATGTACTCTTTGACCATTAGGTCTTATATATGCTCAGTAGGTTTTATACAATAAGCAACAGAGAGATCTCTTCTGGCCATTGACCTGTGGCTTATATCATATGAAACCTCCTACAAAAAAGTCATTATAAAAGTTGGACAAAATTCTAAAACAACTAAAAAGACAAAACATGATGGACTCCAACTGGTCATGATTTACTGTTTATGTTTTTCCTGCTTGCAAGAAAAAAAATAAAAATCTCTTTTTAGAAAGATATCATTCATAATCTCCACTGTTTTTATATGCAATATCTGGCATTTAATAAAAAATTCTGAGACACCCTAAAAATAGAAAAAGCAGAAAACTAAATGACAAAGCACCAACTGACATGCCAAATGTTTCAGACACTGATAATATCAGACAGGACATTTAATATAAAAATGATATCTGTGTTCAAATAGAGAAAAGTATAAAGAAGTTCAACAACTTGGAAATAATTCAAGAGTGAAATAAGAGTTCTAGAAGTGAGATAAATAATAATCGGCATTAAAAATAATTTCATTAAGGATTAAGTAACAGCAAGATGGAATCCAAGAGATAAAAATGTTTAAGAAGGAAGGAGTAGCCCATTGGCATCAAATACTTCTAAGAGATAACAGCAAGTGTTATTGCTTCTGCATCTGTGATACTGTCCCCAACTAAATGTCCCAGAAAAATTACTTGTAAGTTTAGAAAATATATAAGAAATACCCAATAGATATAGTGAAAATAAAGTATTTGGAAAATAAAGTATTTGTTGGATTTGGTTAGGCCTGTTTTGTTAATTTAGAGAGAAGAATTCAAATTGGACTGGATTGATGATGAGCCCCTACCTAGCTAAAGGGGAAGAGAGAGAGAGAGAGAGAGAGAGAGAGAGAGAGAGAGAGAGAGAGAGAGAGAGATATTTGAAAAACAGGAGAAAATTGAGCTTTAAAAAATAATTGGGACACTGATCCAGACATAGATTTATCTTCCTTACCTTTAATGCATCTGACAGCACCATTAGTCTTAGATTTACAGGGTAATTCATTAATCTCCATGGTGTTCCTTACCCCATGCCTTCTGACAAAGAAATTTATTTCAAGGCAAAGGAAGTAGGGCATTTAACAACAATTCACTGGCATGCCTCACCACCTGAAAACTGCTAGCTTGGTAGAGCAGAGAAATGACTTGAATGGTTTTTAAGACACAAATGTAATATAATCTGAAGACAGTACTTTAGAAATATATATAATTTTGTTCAGTTTTCCATGGGTATTTTTATTTTATTATATTGTGTCATATAAACAAATTTAGGTTTTATATTATCAATTGTGTCAATCTTTTGAATGGCTTTTCTTGTCTTATTTCTAAAGGTCTTTCCCACTCAAAGATAATAATAAAAAAATCCACCAATATGTATTTTCTTCTAAAATGTTAATGTTTTCAACTCTTTATATATAAATATATGATCCACCAAGCAGAACTAGAAGGGCTAGTCTATTCCTATCAAGAAAGGTATTTTTTTTTTTTTTTTAATGTGAGGCATTATTGCCTGTGAATATATTGCACTAGGCAGCCAGGATGCTTAGGTCAGGTCTCAGCTCTAACCTTTTTCATTTGTGTGATGTTGGATAAGGACATAGCCTCTTGATAGCTCACTTTCCCAAGTGTAAAATAAGGATGATAATAATAGCAGTTCATAGAGCTGTAAAGATGAAACCAGCATTAGTAAAGTGCTTAGGATGAAACAGATAATCATTATATGTTTTGCGAATTCTTTACTTTAAATGTTGCTGGCAAGATATTCACTGTTGTATTTTTAGATGAATTTTGATAACTTTTCTTCAAGTATCAAGGGGGAAAAATCTATTAGTATTTTAATTAAGTTGACATTTAATATTTAGATGCATTTAGGAGAAATAACTTTTTTCTTGCAATATTGATGCTTGTAATCTAAAAGCAAGTTTTGTTATTTTTAATTTTTTTGTTTTAAGAGTTTTAAAGTTTTCTTCATTTTGATTGTACATATTTGTAATTATTTTGTATCTGTGATTTTTTTTTTAATTCTTTAGTAGCTCTTATGAAAGGGACCTATTATTTTATTTTATTTTTTCTATGTATTCATTTTATTTTACTACCTATTCCAATATAAAATAAAGCAGTTAATTTTAAAAATTAAAAAAAAAATACTTAAAGTAATCTTTACACATTCTCTTAAGTAAAAAACAAATAAACAAACAAACATTTTATGGAATTTATGTGTGGCAATTCCAATACAAATTTTAAGCTAAGATTTCCTAATCGAAATGAGAAAGAACTTACTCGGAACCAATAAATTCACACTCCGCATCTCCACCTTGCATACTTGATCAAGAAACGATTGAACTTCTACCTCCTGAGAACATTGCCTCAGACTTATCAGACACTCACTTGCATAACCTTGAAGACTCATTTCTTTTCTCCTCTGGTAGCTTAGCTGAGAGCTGGCTCAAATTAATTGAGCCAGTCTGCAGAAAGACTGCAAGGTTGATCTCAGCTTTCCTGGCCTTCAAAGCTGTTTCTAGGATCTTTGGTGTACCAACCTTGGACATTGGCATGTAGACCCCCTAATGTGGTCCCTGGGCCCCAGGTTCCTTAGTTTATTTCTTGTTATTAGAGAAACTAAGTGTTCTATCTTATCTAAGGCTAACCTATGGAACAAGGTGGCAAGGTAGAGTTTACATTCTTCCTTTCTCTGGGAGTGCTCTTTGTGTATGTGTAGTCTCCTGGCTATAGCAAGCACCCTCTATCAGAACCTTTGCCATGACTTGGGCAGAATGTCTATACCAGGCTATTTCTGTATAGTGAGTGAGAATTGTGTCCTTTTTATTATTTCTCTGCTTGAAAGATTGTCTCCAATAAATTCTGTTAAATCTGCATCATGTGGCACTAGTGATTCATACTCCCTTGCACAACATTGATAATACCCAGACACAACGTGAAAAACTGCTCTGTAGGTTGGCAGACATAGAGAAATATGCAAAAGAAAGAGAAAGAGGAAGAAGAATGTTAAGATGTTCCCTCTTGCACCAGTTCTATGTTCTTATCTGAAGACACAGTAAGGTTGCAGCTCATTGGCTAACTTGTGGGTAGTTGGAGCAGTAAAATATAAAAACAGAAGTTTAAGCTTTGGTTTATAAACAGAAATGAAAATTACAACTCCTGTTTAACATTCAACTGTTAATTTATCTTCATCTTTTTTGTTTTTTTTTTCCAGTTTGTCAAGTTTTCTTTTCAGAGTCATCAATGTCTGAAGAAGTAACTTATGCGGATCTAAAATTCCAGGACTCCAATAAGAGAGAAAATATTCAGGAGTTTCACCAAGTTGGTGTAAAAGGTAAGATTCTGAGCGATGGATGTTTTGTATGATGTTAGAAAAGAAGTGTAGAAGGTGGTAGAAGTGTAAGTGTTGAAGCGCTGTACCTTAGGTAGTAATGAGTTGACAATGATCCTTCTTCAATTTGAAAAAAAAAATTTTAATCCTCACTCGAGGATATTTTTCCATTTATCTTTAGATAGAGTGGGAGGGAAGGAGGGAGAGCTAGAGGGAGGATTGTATTGATTCTATATATTGCTTAGTAGCATGGACATTTTAACAGTATCAATTCTTTCAGTCCATGAGCACAAATTATCTTTCCATTTATTTGTGTTCTCTTCAATTCTTTCTTTAATGTCTTGTAGTTCAGCATACAGGTTTTCACCTCCTTGGTTAAATTTATTCCTAGGTATTTTATTCTTTTGATGTCATTGTAAATGGGATTGTTATCTTAATCTCTCTTTCTGGTAGTTCATTGTTAGCGCATAAATATGCAACAGATTTTAGTGTATTGAAATTGTAACCTGCAACTTTACTGAATTTGTTTATTAGTTTTAACAGTTTCCTTAGAATTTAGAATTTTCCATATATAATATCATATCATCAGCAAATAGTGACAGTTGCACTTCTTTTTCAGTTTGGAGGGCTAGGATTTCCAGTACCATGTTGAATAAAAGTGGTGAGAGTGGGCATCTTTGTCTTGCTCCTGATATTAAAGGAAAAGCTTTTAGCTTTTCACCATTCAGTACGATGTCAGCTGCGGGCTTATCATATATATGATCTTTGTTATGTTGAGGTACATTACCTCTATACTCACTTTGTTGAGTTTTTATCAGAAATCAATATTGAATTTTGTACATGCATTGATCAAGATAATCATATGATTTTTATCTTTTTTTCATTGACATAATGTATGACATTGATGTGTGGAAGTCAAACCACATTTACATGCTTAGAATAAATCCTACATGATTGTGGTGTATGGATTTTTGAATTTTTTATTAATTTATTATTGTTACAGATGTTTCTCCTTTTTCCCCCATTGACACCCTTCTCCCACCCCCCCCCCATCCCCAGCATTGTTGTCTATGTCCATGGTTATGCATACATGTATATAAGTTCTGTGGTTTATCTCTTCCCTCCTCTACCCTCCAACCCCTTCTTCTGAGGTTTGTCAGTCTGTACCCCAATTTTATGCCTCTGGGTCTATTTTGTTCATCAGTTTGTTTTGTTCATTATATTCCACAAATAAGTGAGATCATGTGATATTTGTCTTTCTCTGATTGGCTTGTTTCACTTAGGATAATACTTTGCAGATCCCTCTTATCAAAGGATAAGAGATATTTTTTCTTACAGCTGCATAGTATTCTATTGTGTATATGTACCACCGCTTTTTTATCCACTCATCTATTGATGGACACTTGGGCTGTTTCCAGATCTTAGCGATTATAAATAGTGCTGCCATGAGCATAGGGCTACATATATTCTTTCTGATTGGTGTTTCAGGTTTCTTACAGTATATTCCTAGAAGTCGGATCACTGGGTCAAATGGCAATTCAATTTTTAATTTTTGAGGCAACACCATAGTGTTTTCCATAGTGGCTGCACCAGTCTGCATTCCCACCAGCAGTGTACTAGAGTCCCCTTTTCTTCACACCCTCGCCAACACTTGTTTGATGATTTGTTGATGGTGGCCATTCTGACACGTGTGAGGTGATACCTCATAGTTGTTTTAATTTGCATCTCTCTGATGATTAGTGACATTGAGCATTTTTTCAAATGTCTCTTGGCCATCTGTATGTCCTGTTTGGAGAGGTGTCTATTTAGCTCCTCTGCCCATTTTCTATTTTCTAATTTTTCTAATTCTTTTTCTTTTGTTGAATTGTATAAGTACTCTATATATTTTGGAAATTAGCCTCTTATCTGACGTATCATTGGTAGTTATGCTCTCCCATATAGTGGATTCACTTTCCAATCTGATAGTTGCTTTTTGTGCTGTGCAGAAGCGTTTTAGTTTGATGTAGTCCCATGTGTTCATTTTTTCCCTTGTTTCTCTTGCTTCAGGCGTTCTATCAGTGAAAATTCTGCTGCATGTGATGTCTGAAATTTTGTTGCCTACATTTTCTTCTAGGATTTTTTATGGATTCAGAAGTCACATTTAAGTCTTTTATCCATTTTGAGTTTATTCTTGTGTATGGTCTAAGTTGGTGGTCTAGCTTAATTTTTTTTTGCATGTAGCTTTTCAGTTTTCCAAACACCATTTATTGACCCCACAAAGGTGGTTCTTTCCACCTGCCACCTTTGTCAAAAATTAATTGAGCATATTGTCTTGGGTCAATTTCCAGATTCTCTGTTCTGTTCCATTGATCTATATGACCGTACTTGTGCCAGTACCAGGCTGTTTTGATTACAGTGGCTTTGTGGTATAACCTGATATCCAGTATTGTGATCCCTCCTACTTTGTTCTTCTTTTTCAAGATTACTGTGGCTTTCAGGGTCTTTTTTGGTTCCATATAAACTTTTGGAGTATTTGTTCTAGTTCTGTGAAATATGTCATTGATATTATAATGGAGATTGTATTGAATCTATAAATTGCTTTGGGTAGTATGGACACTTTAATGATGTTAATTCTTCCAATCCATGAACAAGGTATATGCTTCTACTGTTTTATATCTTCCTCTATTTCTTTTTTCAATGACCTGTAGTTTTCTGTGAAGAGGTCCTTTACTTCTTTGGTTAAGTTTATTTCTATGTATCTTAATTTTTTTTTTGCCACAATAGTAAATGGAATTGTTTTTTTAGTTTCTCTTTCTGTGAGTTCATCACTGGTGTATAAGAATGCCTTGGATTTCTTGACATTAATTTTGTATCCTGCTACTTTGCAAAATTCATTTATTAAATTTATTAGATTTTTGATGGCATCTTTATGGTTTTCTATGTGCAATATCATGTCATCTGCAGATAATGACAGTTTCACTTCCTCCTTTTCAATTTGATTCTCTTTTATATTTTCTTTATATCTAAATTGCTGTGGCTAAGACTTCCAATACTATGTTAAATAAAAGTGGCAAAAGTGGCATCCCTGTTTTGTTCCTGTTCTTAAAGGAAATGCTTTTAGTTTCTGCTCATTGAGTATGATGCTGGCTATAGATTTTTCATATATGACCTTTATTATGTCAAGATATGATCCCTCTACTCCCACATTGCTGAGTGTTTTTATCAGAAGTAGGTGCTGGATTTTGTCAAATGCTTTTTCAGCATCTATTGAAATGATCATATGGTTTTTATGTCTCATTTTGTTTATGTGGTGTATCACATTTATTGCTTTGTGAATATTGTACCATCCTTGCATCCCTGGAATGAATCCCACTTGGTCATGGTAAATACTTTTTTTGATGTATCTCTGGATCTGATTTGCTAATATTTTGTTAAGGATTTTTGCATCTGTGTTCATCAGGGATATTGCCCTGTAGTTTTTTTGTTTTGTTTTTTCTTGTAGTGTCTTTATCTGGTTTTGGAATTACGATTATGCTGGAATTAGGATTAGAATGAGTTTGGAAGTTTACTGTCTTCTTGAATTTTTTTTTTTTTTTTTTGGAATAGTTTGAGGAGAATGGGTGTTAGATTTTTGAATGTTTGACAAAATTCTCCCTTGAAGCTGTCCGGGACTGAGCTTTTGTTTGCTGGAAGTTTCTTGATTACATTTTCAATTTCCTTAGTTGTTATTGTTCTGTTCAAGTTTTCTATCTCTTCCGGTTCAGTTTTGGGAGACTGTGTTTCTAGAAATTTATCCATTTTGCCTAGATTGTCCAATTTGTTGGCATATAATTGTTCATAGTATTTGATGATCCTTTGTATTTCTGTGATGTCAGTTGTTTTTCTCCTCTTTCATTTCTGATTTTGTTTATTTGGGTCCTCTCTTTTTGTTTCTTGGTGAGTCTGGCTAAGGGTCCATCAATCTTGTTTATCTTTTCAAAGAACCAGCTCTTTGTTTCATTGATCTTTGGAATTGTTTTTTAATTTTTATGTCATTGATTTCTGCTCTGACCTTTACTATTTCTTTCCTTCTACTTGCTCTGGGTTTTTCTTTTTGTTTACTTTCTAGTTTTTTAAGTTGTGAGGTTAGATAATCAATTAGGAATTTATCTTGTTTTTTGAGGTAGGCCTGTAGTGCTATGAACTTCTCTCTCAGGACTGCTTTTGCTGCCTCCTACAGATTTTGTGTTGTTTTGTGCTCATTTTTATTGGTTTCCAAGAAGTTTTTAATTTATTCTTTGATCTTCTTGGTAACCCATTGATTGTTTAATAACATGTTATTTAGCTTCCAAATGTTTGAATGTTTTTGTGTGTTTTTGTTGTAATTAATTTCTAGTTTCATGCCACTGTGATCTGAGAAGATGCTTGGTATGATTTCGATCTTCTTAAATTTGTAGAGACTTGCTTTGTGTCCTAATATGTGGTCTATCTTCGAGAATGTCCCATGTGCACTGAAGAAGAATGTATAATCTGCAGCTTTGGGGTGAAATGTTCTGTAAATATTAATTAAGTCCAACTGATCTGGTTTGTCATTTAAGGTCTTTGTGTCCTTGTTAATTTTTTGTCTAAAAGATCTATCCAGCAGTGTCAGTGGCATGTTAAAGTTACCTACTATGATTGTATTACTATTGATTTCTCCCTTAAAATCCTCTAGACATTTTTAAATATATTTTGGTGCTCCCATATTTGGTGAGTATATGTTTACCAGGGTTATATTCTCTTGTTCGATTGATTCTTTGAATATTATGTAGTGACCTTCTTTGTCTCTTATTATGGCCCTCGTTTTGAAGTTTATCTTATCAGATATGAGTATTGCTACACCAGCTTTTTTTTTTATTTCCATTTGCTTGGAAAAAAATTTTTTTCATCCCTTTACTTTCATCCTGTGTGAGTCTTTTGTTGTGAGGTGGGTCTCTTGTAGACAGCATATATGTGGGTTGTATTTTCTTATCCAATCAGCTACCCTTTGTCTTTTGATTGAAGCATTTAAGCCATTTACATTTAAGGTTATTATTGAGAGATACTTATTAGTTGCCATTTATATTTTATGCCTGTGTTCCTTTTTCTCTCTCTGTTTCTTCTTCTTTTTCTTACAACAGTCCCTTTAGCATTTCTTGCAGTGCTGGTTTGGTGGTGGAAGTTTGTTTAGTTTTTTTATTTTTGTCTGTGAGGCTCTTTATTTCTCCTTTGAATCATTTTGAATGATAGTCTCAGTGGGTAGAGTAGTCTTGGTTTCAGACCCTTGCCTTTCATTACTTTGTATACTTCATGCGACTTCCTTCTGGCCTGCAGTGTTTCTATTGAGAAATCAGCTGACAGTCTATTGGGAACTTCCTTGTAGGTAACTTTCTGTCTCTTTCTTGCTTCCTTTAAGATTCTTTCTTTGTCTTTAATGTTTGCCATTTTTATTATGATGTGTCTAGCTGTGGGTCTTTTTTAGTTCATCTTGCTTGGGACTCTCCATGTTTACTGGACTTGTGTTACTTTTTCCTTTACCAATTTAAGAAAGTTTTCTGTTATTATTTCTTCAAACAGATTCTGTATTACTTTCTCAGATTCTTCTTCTCCCAGTACCCCTATGATGAGAATGTTGTTACATTTTGTATTGTCTCAAAGCTCCCTTAAACTCTGCTCCTGCTTTTTAATTTTTTTCCCACTTGCTGCTCTATTTGGGAGTTTTTTCCTACCTTGTCTTCTAAGTCGCTGATTTGGTGTTCAGATACTATTGAATCCTTCCAATGTATTTTTCATATCAGCTATATCATTCTTTATCTCCTTTTGACTTTTATTCATAGCTTCTACCTCTTTCTTAAAGCTGGTGTAATTCCCACTGAGCTCTTCATTATTCTTATTAAGTTGCTTGTAGTTCTCACTAAATTGTTTGAGCACCCTTAAAATCATTGCTTTGAATTCTTTATCTGACAAATTGCTTTCTTCCATTTCCTGTAATTCCTTTTCTGGTGATTCCTCCTTTTCTTTCATTTGGAGTTGTTTCTTTGTCTCACCATTTTGGGAATCTGGTAGATCTAGGTCCGGTGATGGATGTTGGAATGTGTAGGCAGGTCAGTGTGTATCAAATAAGGCTGCTGTGCCTCCCAGACTGCTTTGGTGTATGGCGCGCGCCTCTTGTATGCTATGGGTCCTGGAGGATTGACAGATGGTGGCTGGTATTGGTCCGTCATTCAGGTCTCACCTCCCCAAGTCCTGCTGTTGCTTGGGCTGGGGCACTGCTCTCGATCAGCCTCTGCTGATACTGCTGGGGATGGGTCTCAGCTGCTGATATCTGCTGTTGCTGGCTGAGGTGCTTGGGTCCTGCTGGTGCCCTGCTGGGGTAGGTGAGTTCTGCTGGTGTGCTCCTGAGGTGCATCGGTCCAGCTGGTGCACTGCTGGGGTGCATGGGTTCCTCTGGTGTGACGCTGGCTACTCTGCTGCCTGGTGGGGCTCAACTCCTGATCAGTTACTGCTGGGGGCAAGTGTCAGCTCCTGGTTTTCATTGCTACTGCTGCTGCTGTTGCCAGGGGCTGCTCTCAGCTCCCAATCTTCTGCTGTTGTTGGGGGCTGAGGAAGCTCTGCTCCGGGACTTTGCTGCTGCTGGGGGAGGGGCTCCACTCCAAATTCACTGCTGCAGTTGTCAAGGGCAGGTCTTGGCTGCCGGAGTTTTTCTGCTGCTTGAGCTGGGGCATTGCTCCTGATCAGCCTCTGCTGATGCCTCTGGGGATGGGTCTCAGCTGCTGATCTGTTCTGCTGCTGCCTGGGGATAGAAGTCCACTAGGAAGCCTCTACTGCTGGGGGTGTGACTCTGCTCCCAAGCCTCAGCTGCTGTTGGGGGTGGGGTTCCACTCCTTCCCAGTCACTGCTGCTGTGGGGGAGGGTTCTGGGCTCTGGTCAGGCTTTTGTTGTGGGGGATGGTACTTGGTTCCTGCCGGTTGTGGCTACTGTAGCAGGCACCTTGATAGTGCTGCTTCTATGTGCTGGTCTGCATTGATACAGGGGAGTCCCCTAGTCTGATGGTGCAAGGCACTTTGGTGGACTCAGGCCACTTGGCCTTAGATGCTCCCTGCTGCCTCCTCCCAGAGAAGACCAGGGATCTTCCAAAATGAAGGGCCTCCCGGCTGCACAGGATGAACTCCCTGCCGAGCTGCTTGCTGTGGTAGCTGGCTGCTTTCTTTCCACAGCACAGGAACCTTCTGCTCCATGTTTCTGCACTGCTCAAGGTTGCTCATCCATACTCACGTCCACTCACACTCTCTGTCACACTTGCTCACACTCTCACACACTCACCTGCTGCCATCTTTCTACTACTCTCCTGGACTTTTAAACTATTATTGAATTCAGTTTGCTAGTATTTTGTTCAGAATTTTTGTATCTGTGTTCATCAGAAATATTGTCCTGTAACAGTCTTCTTGGAGTATCTGTGTCTGTTTTGGGTATTAGGATAATGCTGGCCTCTTAAAGTATAAGTTTGGAAGTGTTCTCTTTTGTTCTGTTTTTCAAAAGAGTTTGAGAAGGATTGGTGTTAATTCTTCTTTTTATATTTGGTAAAATTCTCCAATAAAGTTGTCTGGCCCTTGACTTTTGTTTGTTGGGAGTTTTGTTTGTTCATTTATTTGTTTGTTAATACTCACCCAAGAATATTATTTCATTGAATTTTTTTAGATAGAGTGGAAAGGAGGGAGGGAGGGAGGGAGGGAGAGAGAGAGAGAGAGAGAGAGAATCTTCAAGAGGCCATGGATCAAACCTGCAACCCAGGTATGTGCCCTTGACCATGAATCAAACCTGCAACCCTTTGGTCCATGGGCCAATGCTCTAACCGCTGAGCCAAACTAGCCTGGGCTGTTGGGAGCTTTTCATTACTGACTCAATCTCTTTACTAGTAATGAGTCTGTTCAAATGTTCTATTTCATTGTAACTAACTCTTGGTAGGTTGTATGTTTCTAGGGATGTATGATTTTTTTCTAGTTTGTCCAATATTTTTGCATATAACTGTTCACAGTAGTAACTTTGATCTTTTGTATTTCTGTTGTATGAGTTGCAACATCTCTTTCATTTCTGATTTTATTTAAGTGCAATAATTCATTTATAATATAAAGTTTACAAATTATGTTATTTTTTTGGAACAAATCCATTTTATTTACTTTTCAATAAATTTAAATCCTTGAGGGGTACAGCATTACATGAATTCTGTGTCCAATGGCCTTAGCAGGAAGGTTGTTTAGGAATTTAGCATGAACCATGCCACTATTTCCATGAGCACGAGTTACCTTTCCCCAGATTACTCTGGTTTTGTTTGGTTTGCCACCAGGAGTCACCGTGTTGTTCTTTGCTTTGGACACATAAACATATCTCTTGCCCAGATAGAATTCAATTTCATCTTGAGCATAAACACCTTCAATTTTAAGAAGAGCTGTGTGCTCCCTCTGGTTCCAGAGACCTCATTTATAACTGGCAAAAATGGCCTTGGATCACAGCCTTCCAGACATATTTGTCCTTGTAGAAGTCCTATTCCCAGCAGGCCTCCACAGGGTCCAAGATGGCAGAAAAGGCATGTTTTTTTTTTTAAATAGGGAAATTGTCTGCTTTGAAATTTACTCTTCAGTTAAAAAAAAAAAGCATTCAACAAAAGTTTGTTGCTTTAAAAAACTTTTTTAAAAAATTAAGGACAAAATGATGTAGATTTGATCTAAGATCTGGCTGATATAAGGACACCCAGAGACAGAGAGAGGCAACTCATCATTTATGTTCTACAGCCATGATTTTCTGGGGAAAATACAAATAGTTGAAATTATTTTCTTTGACATCCCGCAATTGTCCACTCATAGAAGGAATACCCAGGTTGACATTTCTTTTAACAGTCAACTACTTAGTTTCCCCAATTTTTACAGAAAAAAATATATTATATCCAGATTGATTGGTTTGCTCACTTCTCTTTTATGAACTCCATTTTTGTCTTTGTTTCTTGAATCAGCCTACCAATTAACAACCTCTCCTTGAAAACTGGTTTGCATATAAAATAGCTAACAAAATGTTTTTAACATTTTCTTGACGTGTTCTTTAAAAAGGTTATTTTAAAATGTCCTTGCAGTTTATTTCTTTACCAGGAACATGTTAGGAAAGAAAAAAAAAAAAGCAAAATGAATGTATTAATGAATGAATGATTCAATTTAAGAAGTATACCATTTCCAGGCCTCTGCTGATTTTGTTTTCTACAGCAGGTCCTGCTCCTCCCCATGTGTGGCGTCAAAGAGTCTTGGCTCTGACTCTTTTGTGCCTTCTGCTACTGATTGGAATGGGAGTCTTAGGAACCATATGTATGTATTATCCATGGTTTTTGTTTGTTTGTTTGTTTTTGTTTGTGTGTTTGTTTTAATCCTCACTCAAAGATATGTTTATTGATTTGAGAGAAAGAGAGAGAGAGAGAGACAGAAACATCAATTGATTGACTCTTTACTATTAGAATTGGAAGGAATTGGTCTTTTAATATCTTTACACTTTATATAGCTATTATAACTAAAATATGTTGTTTGTCTCACAAATATTAAACCAGTCAGAGCTAGAAATAGTCTAAGTGAAAAAGGCAGGATTGATGTAGGTTTGTGGTGTTGACTCCTGTATGAACCCTGACCAGGGATCAAACCCACAACCTAGGTATGTGCCCTGACCGAAAATTGAACCTGCACCCCTTTGGTGTACTGGACAATGTTCCAACCAACTGAGCTACAAGGCCAGGGTGTTACCCATGTTTTGATTGAATGGAAAAACACCTAGAATTGTGTGAGTTTTACAAGAAATTTCACTCTTTGAATTGAGGCTTTGGAATGATTATAGGTGATATATAAGCACAAAGGGGACTTACAACTAAGTCCTTACAGTATGGAACTTAGTTCCTTTCCCTCACTCTTATGAAATAAATAATTCCCCAGACCTTGTAATATTCTTAATACTATTTCAGCAAAAAGAAAATGATGGTTGTATGAGGGATTAAATTTTTTTATCATTTGTTTTCTTTTTTTTAATCTGGAGTTTTCCTAACTTCGAAAACAGAAATGGAAAAATTGCAAAACCTACAAAATTTCAAAGAAGAACTTCAGAAGAATGTTTCTCTACAACTAATGTATAACATTGATAATTCCAAGAAGATCAGGAACCTCTCTATCACACTGCAAGAAATGACCACCAAATTATGTTATGAACTATATAGAAAAAAACCAGGTAATCCTATATTTCTGTCTAAATTATTAGACAATGAGAGTCACTAGAGAATCAGTCTTTCCTTGGGAAGACATTACTTGGGAGAAGGAATTAAATATGGTTGACCGAGTACTTAATATTTCTATGTAGTTAAAAGTAAAACAGAAAAAGTAATAATAATATAGGCCTCAAAATTGCAAGGAAGATAGTAACTAAATGAAACAGTAAACAATATACAGTTTCTTTAATCTGACATTCACTATGCTTTTCTGGGTACTAAGTCAATAGAAGATAGGGAGATCAGGATATCATTTTATAGGTGACCTTGTTCCTAAATTTCAGTGAACTTTTAATGATAGTCAAGAGACAATAAAGTCAGACCTTACTCTTGGAATTGAGAGGAATTGGTCTTTTAATATTTCTACACTTTATATAGCTATTGTAACTGAAATACATTATTTATGCCCTTACAGTCTCCCAAATATTCAACAAGTCAGAGATATAAATAGTCTAAGTGAAAAAGGCAGGACTGATGTAGGTTTGTGGTGTTGATTCTCACCACCCAAAGTTTCTTGACATTAGCCTTTATTGCCATGTAGTAATACAAAAAATGACAGAGAAGGAAACTTATTAATCGTGATCCAGGGCTCCTGAGGTAGGAAATATACTGGAATATAAGTGTTTAATTTGAAATGTGCTGTTCAAAATATGTTTTAGACACATTGTGGTAGTATATAGGGACCCAGAACACAAGATTAATTTTCTTCACCTTTGATGTAAAAAGAAAAAAGACAAGTAAATATGGTTAATTTAACATAAAGGACAATGCAACTAATGAGAATTATAAAGATTATCAAACACACTAAATAAAACTACATTCTTCTTCCAGAGCACAAATGTAAACCTTGTCCAAAGGAATGGATGTGGCATGAGGACAGCTGTTACCGGCAATTTGAAAAATCTCTGACATGGCAAGACAGCGTCATGTTATGTTCTCGTCACAATGCCAGTCTGGTGAAGATTAAGAACAAAAGTGTACTGGTAAGGTCCAGTGTATCTCTGCTCGTGAGGAAGGAAGTCACTTTTCCCAAGATAGAATAAATAGGAGAGAGGCATGTTGGGGAAGATTTGTGTTAATCCAGACATGATTCTGGCTTATTCTAGTTGGAGTAGCCAAGGCAAAGCATATAAAACTTGAGCTTAGGGCCTTAGTGTCAGTCAAATTTCAGAGGCTGAGCAGATGTATAGATATGGGGCACCCAGATCAGGTCTGTAAGTATTTTCAAACGTTAGGATCAACTTTCAGAACACACTTTTTGAGCATTTATCTAAAAACAGGAGATCTGTAAATTATTCCTCAGGTTTACTAATCCCATAAAATATACACTGCAATTGATTCTTCATTTCCATCATTTTGCATTTTTTTAACTAAGAGAAAAAGCCAACATATACTAGAAAATATAGATAGTTGGATAAAATATGTATAAAAAAGCAGAATTAAGATGGGATGGCAAAGGCAAGTGCCAAGCAGATATATTGCATGGAGTCCCTGGGTCTAAGAAAAAGTGAGTTCTCTGGAAGATTCATTTATATATTTATTTATTTTTTAATATATAAGTAGTATCTCTATATTTTACTTATTACTCAGCATTTATGGTCTCTCCCATAGTATTCACATATTTATTTTTCAAGCCAAAAATTTATTTTCCCAAGTGTCTTAGGTTCCCTGCTCAAATATCTTTCTCCTCCTTCATAAAAGAAGAGAAAAATCAACCCATCGCTCTTACTCATGTGATCTTCCCCAAAGGATCCATTCATAGCTACTTATTCAAAAAATGTCTGGGAAAAAATGTTACTTTGGCTACAAAAATCTGAACTGGTTTTAAATTCTATTCTATAATCACTCTCATCTGACTGCTCTATTGTTCTCCTACTCTTTCTGCTTCTGTTAACATATGTTTATAGTGATCAGCTACCTGTTTGCCCCAAGGCTGAATATTTAGTGCTCACTGTTCGCATCCTGAAGTTTGAGAAATACATTGACCCCAAATTAAGGTTATACATGGATTGGTAGTTCCATCTCCATGTGAGACAATAACCAATGTATAAAAGCTGAAAGAAATCTTATAGTAAGTAAAAAACACTCTCAATTGTTTTTAATGACATTGAAAACTAGTAGTATACATTTAAAAATGTTACCTTAAGACAGTTATTTTTAAGATATTATGTTGTGAGGTAATATGCAGAAATGGGAGATAATTATTTTAACAAGCAATCTCTATTTCCTGTAGGAATTTATAAAGTCCCAGAAATTATATAACTACTGGCTAGGATTTTCTCCCAGAAACTATAACAACATATATTACCAGATCTTGGAAGACACAATTATCTCATCTAACTGGTAAGTCTCTAGTTTTGTTGAATGTTTCCAGTTGATTTGAATAAAAGAGTTTTCCTCAGGAGCACTGTAGGTTACAGTTAAAACTGCCTTCAATTAAAATTGCATCTGTAAAAAATTCTTTTCCATAAAGCTTCTTTAATGTATCTAATAATGCAAGAAGTTATGACAAGTCGCTAACAAACTTATACTAGCCAAATAAGGAAGAATTTCTATGTTTTTATGTAAGAGAATTATAGAAGCCAACAAAATGCAGTGGTCTCTAACATGTACTTAAAATGATGCTAATTGCTGGAATTCATAAATAAATGAAAGATTGATTCTGCCTTTAGTTAATTAATGATTGATTTTATGGTTACACTAACTTTAAACATTTATAGATAAAAAGAATAGCATGTGAAAATGCTTCAGTCAGAATAACAAAAAATAAAATTGAGCTTTGAAATTTATATTATTAATTGACATTTGAAATGGCCATTTTTGAAAGGAAATTTTAAAGATACAATTGAAGAGCATTTCTGGTAAAGAGAATAACCTGAACTTGGGCATGGTATATTGTATATATGCTATATTTAAAATATTTAATTGTATAAAATATTCAAAATATGATTATAAATGGATTGATATGTTGTATTTGTTCTGCTTGTAATGGGGAAAAAAAGACTTAAAAAATTAATATCAAAATTTAATTTGTAGTTTATATTTCCTTCAATTTGGAGGCAGACAAGATTAGACTAAAGAAAGAAACCAGAGTCTTAACCTGTTGGATACTGTTGCAAGTTCAGTCATTTATACATATATGCTGGTTGAGGACACATAAAGCAGGAGTGATCTCGGGGCAACTGTGTTGGAGTACTGTCACACTGAATCTAAACTGTGAGATTCCTTCACACTCACCACCTTGGGTCACACTGAAAATAGAAGCTATGATTGTTTTTGTTGTTTTTTTTTTTTCCCCTTCAGATAGAAATAGTAGGTGTAGGAATATGGGTCAAAAAGACAAAGCAGCTTTAACTTTGGCAGTTTGCAATAATAGGACAGAATACGGAATACATACACATAGAGGAGAAAAGGATATATAAGATAAATGTCTCATTTGGAGTGAAGGACTAAGGGTATAAAGGTAGTGTGTGTGTCTGGGGAGAGTATAGATGGGATCTTATTTTAAAAAAGAATTTCCATGTGTTTATTTGCAATTTTGCTAATGGGAAGAAAATCTGTAATGGGATGGAAACATAATAGCTATTTCTAATTTGAAAGAAAATATGGAGCCCTGGCTAGTGTTGCTCAATGTTTACAGCATCAGTCCATGGAACAGAGTCACTGGTGTGATTTCTGGTCAAAGGCACATACCTCGGTTGCAAGTTTAATCCCTGGCCCTAGTCAGGGCATTTGTGGAAGGCAATCAATCAATGTATCTCTCTCACATCTATGTCTCTCTCTCTCTCTCTTTTCCTTCCACTTTCTCTAAAAATCAATGGAAAAATTATTCTCCATTGAGGATTAACAAAAAAAAAGAAAGAAAGAAATAATACTGAAAAAAATTATATAATAATATATGTATATATAACACATTATATTTGTATAGAATATATAATTACCTATGTATGTATATATGATTCCTTTTTGTTTTTTATTCTCAATGTTACGTTAATTTTTGTCTTGTTTCTGGAAAGGAATATGATCAATGATATCTGTATTATGTCACCTCAAATAGAAATTTTCACTTCTGAAAATTTAATTAATGAACTTATTTATTGATTAGTGATAATTATTTATCAACTCAAGTATTAATACTACATTTTTTACAAAGATAGTATTTTCAATTTACAAGTTTGTCTTAGTAAATAATCCCTGACCAATATTCTTGTATTAGGGGCTGGTAGTAATTCAGAACTTCAGCGTAAAATCTCTAAAAAAAAGTTAGAGAGATATATCACATAGAGATGATGTTGAGCTTAAGGTATTATACATTAGATTAATTCTTGGTTTTGGTGATTATAAAAAACATTTGGGGAGGTTAGTGTCAAAGATTTACTATGGAGGCAGTTAGACTAAAAAATCTAATTAGAATTGCATTATTTTAAATAATATTAGTTATTGGGGAAGGGAGGTGCTATGTCTGAAAAAAACAGCAAATATTTTAGTTGTGAGAAATAAAACAAGGCAGAGAAAAATAACACAATGTTTGATGTTATACATACGTCAATAAAGGGACTCTCAATATTTTGAATAATAATAAAAATTTATTTTAGACAATGCAGAGCCTAGGAGCAATGACATAAAGGAAAAGTAATTTTGTGTGTGTGAATATGTTTCAAATGTTTGACTAGCCTAGTGTAATTCTTTATTTTCTCTTTTAGGTATACAGGAAACAAAATTTATTTAAATGATAGAAGCTATTGTGGATACATACAAAGTATATACATTTACTATGATTACTGTGCTATCAGAAAATTTGTTATCTGTGAGAAGTTAGCTAATGCAGTGAAGATTGGGAGTACACTAATTGAATGAAGAAACACACAGAAGAATGTAGTTAGTGTATTTGTTTTGCCTTAGCAACTTTAGGAAACATACACCCTGTGGACCACACAAACGGAATAAAGATGTTGTGAAACTAAATTTCTTCCTCTCCCCTAATAATTTACAATTTAAAATTTCCTCTTTCTCCTCATTTTCTTTTCTTTTTTCGGTACATGCCCCTAACAGGAACTGAACTGGGGACTATCTGGTCCACAGGCCAATGCTCCAACCACTGAGCCAAACTGGCCAGGGCCTCATTTTCTAAGTAAAAGAAATCCAAAGTCACCTAAATTCAAAACATATCATTTAGATACAGTCCAGATAATATTAAGCATCAATACAGTGTCCTGAGTGAGGATGCTAAAACCAAAAGTAACGTTTTCTTGTTTTTTTTTCAGACATAAACAAGGTAAATACCAACATTGTGGAAATTCAGAGAAAATTGAATCTAAGAACTGTTTTTGTTTTTTTTTTTTTTTTTTAATCCTCACCCAAGGACATTTTTCCATATTTTGTTCAGATAGAGTGGGATGGGGAGAGAGAGAGAGAGAAACATAGACGTGAAAGGGACACATCGAGTGGTTGCCACCTGCACAGCCCAACCAGGGCCGGGGACAAACTGCAACCGAGGTACATGTACTTAGTGGGAACCAAACCCGGGTCTCTCTGGACCACAGGCCAAGGATCTAACTGCTGAGCCAAACTGGCCAGAGCAAGAACTGGTTTTTTAAAAAGATAAACAAGATTGACAAACCTTTAATAAGACCCATTAACAACAACAACAAAAAAAAATAGAGGACCAAATAAATTAAATTAGAAATGAAAGAGAAGTGACAACTGACACCAAAGAAATACAAAAGATCATAAGAAAATATTATGAACAACAAATTGGAGAATCTGGACAAAAAGGATAAATTTCTAGAATCATACAATCGCCCTGGCTCAGGGCGAATCGCATTCAGCTCAGGAGATCAAGGAGACTTCACCACTGTGTTACACAGGACACTTACTACATTAGACCACCCCACAAAGACTGGGAGTCATTGTAATTCTAACACATGGAAACAAACACAAAGATACAGCTAAAATGGGACAACAAAGAAATAATCCCCAAATGAAAGAAAAAAAAATCTCCAGAAAAAGAACCAAGCAATTTATCAAATACAGAGTTCAAAATAATAGTTATAAGGATGCTCAAACAACTTAGTGAGAACTACAGAAAATAATGAGAACTGCATCAACATGAGAAAACAGATAGAAACTATGAAAAAGAACCAGTTAGAAATGAAGAATATCATATCTGTCATCAAGGATACACTCTAAAAAATTCAAAGCAGGCTGGATGAAGTGAGGGTAAAAAAAAGTAGCCAAACAGGGTAACAAAAAGAAAAAATTAAAAAATTGAAGATAGAATCCAAAATGGTGGTGAAGTGAATGAATGTAAGCTACACAGAAAATCTCCTAGGACCAAACTGAAATAAAGACAAATCATTGGGAAAAAAGCAACAGAAAAGCAGCTGGAGAGGACCCATATAACCGGAGATAGAAAAAAAAGAACATTGAATCAAGCATGGTAGGTCTGCCGAGGTGTGAGAGGGCAGGCTGGGAACCCACAGACAGCAGGTGTTTTAGCTGTGAGCAGCTCTCTCGAGGCAGGCTCCATGGCACAAAAGGCCAGGACAGAGCACTAAATTAGCTACAGCCTTGGGTTCTGGCAGGGGGAGGGCAGACTGGACTGGAACTATGTGGGGACACTCAGGATTTGAAGGGTGCTCAGAGTTTTGCTGAGTCATGGCTACACAGGATGGTGGCCATCTTGCTCATGGAGCTTCTTCCCAGGGCTCTGAGAAAAGCAGCAGCTTCTCCCTCAGAGATTTAACCCCACCCAGCTGGGCCAAAGAAATGCAAATTGAGGCTCACTAACAACAGCATCTGCCCCACCCTCTGGAAATCCACTTACACTGAACACCTGAGGGAGTTTTTCATTCAACCGAGGGCTACAACCCAAGGCTCATCAAGTAACTGATACCAATAGCCACCAGGCAAAAAGCTAGAGGATAACTGAACCTTTTCTTGGCTTGCAAGTCTACTCCGGAAAGTAAGACTTGACAGTGGCATTTAATGTGGGTTCTCCCACACTCATGCAAACCCAGTAGAGGGAGCCCAAAACAGCAGAACACAAACACCCACAGGGAAATTTTGGCAGGCTCCAAAATTCACTGAGAAGCCAAAATGGTGAAACAAAGAAACAAATCCCAAATGAACGAACAAGAGAACTCTACTAAAGATGAGATAAATAAAATGTAGTTAAGCAAGTTATCAGAGGTAGAGTTCAGAGCTATAATCTTGAGGAAGCTCAACAGCATGAGTAAAGAGCTCAACACTATGAGTAAAGATATAGAAACATTGAAAATCAACCAATTGGAAATAAAAAACCCACCAAGAAATGAAGAATAACATAGCAGAAATAAAGAACACAGTGGAAGGAATAACCAGCCGAGTAGAGGAAGCTGAGAACTGGATCAGTGAATTAGAAGACAGGAAGAAAAAATCAACCAATCAAAAAACCAAAAGATAAAAAACAATTAAAAAACAAGAAGACAGTTTAAGAGAACTGTGGGACAACTGTAAAGTAACAACATTTGCATCATAGGAGTTCCAGTAAAAGAAGACTATGAGCAAGGGTTAGAGAATATATTTGAAGAAATAGTGACAGAAAACTTCCCTAACTTGAAGGCATTCAAGTTCAAGAAGCACAGAGATCCCCAAGTAAGAAAAATCCTAACAGGTCCACACCAAGCTACATAGTAATTAAAATGGCAAAAATTAAAGACAAAGAGAGAATCCTAAAGGCAGCAAGAGATAAGCAACAAGTTACCTACACAAAAACCCCCATAAGGCTATCAGCTGAATTCTCAACAGAAACACTATAGGCCAGAAGGAAATGACATGAAGTAATCAAGATCATGAAAAACAAGGATCTGAATCCAAGACTATTCTATCCAGTAAGGCTATCATTCAAAATAAAGGGTGAAATAAAGAGCTTCGCAGACAGAAAAAAAAAAAAGGCTAAGGGTATATATTAACACCAAACCAGCACTGCAAGAAATTTTGAAAGGACTGCTGTAATTAGTAGAAGAAATAGGAATAAAAATATAACTACAATAAACAAAAATGGCAATAAATAAGTATATATCAATAATCACCGTAAATATGAATAGATTGAACACTTCAATCAAAAGACACAAAGTAGTTGATTGGATAAGAAAGCATGACCCATATATATGTTGTTTCCAAGAGACCTACCTCACATCAAGAGACTCACATAGGTTGAAAGTAGAAGGATGGAAATAAATCTTCCAGGCAAATGTAAAGGGAAAAAAAGCTGGGGTAGCAATACTCATAACTGATAAAGTATATTTCAAAATGAAGAACATAACTAGAGACAAAGAAGGTCACCACATAATGTTGAAAGAATCTATCCAATAGAAAGATATAACCTTGGTAAACATATATGCACCCAATATAGGCACACCAAATATATTAAAAATATTCTGGAGCACTACAAAGGAGAAAGTGACAGCAATACAATCATAGCAGGGGAATTCAACATCCCGCTGACATCACTGGATAAATCCTCTAGACAAAAAATTAGCAAGAAAACAGAGACTCTAAATGAAACACTAGACCAAATGGATTTCATAGATATCTACAGAGAATTACACACCAAAACCACAGAATTCACATTCTTCTCAAGTGCACATGGGACATTCTCAAAGATAGACCACATATTAGCACACAAACTAAATCTCTACAAGTTCAAGAATATTGAAATCATATCAAGCATCTTCTCAGATCACAATGACATGAAACTAGAAATCAATTGCAACAAAAACATGCAAAGACATTTGAACACATAGAGGCTAAATAGCATGTTATTAAACAATGAATGTGTTACCAAGAAGGTCAAGAAAGAAATTAAAAACTTTCAGGAAACCAATGAAAATGAACACACAACACAAAATCTATGGGATGCAGGGAAAGAAGTTCTGAAAGGGAAGTTCATAGCACTACAGGCCTGCCACAAGAAACCAGAAAAATTTCTAATTGACCATCTAACCTCAAAACTTAAAGAACTATTCAAAAGCAAACAAAAAGAAAACCCCAGAGCAAGTAGAAGGAAGGAAATAGTAAAAATCAGAACAGAAATTAATGACATAGAGACAAAAAAAAAAAATTCAAAAAATCAATGAAACAAAGAGCTGGTTCTTCAAAAAGATAAACAAGATTTCTAGACCCTTAGCTAGACTCACCAAGACACAAAGACAGAGAACCCAAATACACAAAATCAGAAATGAAAGAGGAGAAATAACAACTGACACCACAAAAGTACAAAGGATCATTAACAAATACTATGAACAACCACAGGCCAACAAATTGGACAGTTTAAGTGAAATGGACACATTTCTAGAAACACATAGTCTCCCAAAATGGAACCAGGAAGAGATCGAAAACTTGAACAGACCCATAACAACTAAAGAAATTGAAGATGTAATCAAGACTCTTCCAGCAAACAAAAGCCCAGGCCCAGACAGCTTTATGGGGGAGTTTTACTGAACATTCAAAGAAGAACTAACACTCATTCTACTCAAACCAATCCAAAAATTCAAGAAGAAAGACTTCCAAACTTGTTTTATGAGACCAACATAAATCTAATTCCAAAACTAGATAAAGACACCACAAAGAAAGAAAACTACAGGCCAATATCCCTGATGAACATAGACACCAATGTCCTGAACAAAATACTAGCAAATTTCATCCAGCATTACATTAATAATATAATACATTAATTCACCATGACCAAGTAGGATTTATCCCAGGGATGCACTGCTGGTACAATATTTGCAAATCAATAAATGTGATACACCACATAAACAAAATGAAACATAAAAACTATACGATCATTTCAGTAGATGCCGAAAAATCATTCAATGAAATCCAGCACCCACTTCTAATAAAAATGCTCAGCAATGTGGGAATAGAGGGATCATATCTTGACATAATAAAGGCCATATATGAAAAACCTACAGTCAACACCATACTCAATGGGCAAAAACTAAAAGCATTTCTCTTAAGAACAAGAATAAGATAGAGATGCCACTTTCACCGCTCTTATTTAA